GCAGCAGTTAAGGGGTGGATTTTCCATAATATCCCACAGTTCCTTTACTTTCAGGAAACATTCCATCTTTGCAGGCAAATTATATAGTTCTTCTGACCCAAAAGTGGCAGAGAGGTCTCCTTAATTTTGTCGGCCATCCTGCAAGCTTTTCTCTCTGTCTTTTTTCTCTTTTTAAACACAGACAGTCTCTCTCAGCTTAAATTAAGTCTTTTTCTGTGTTCTGGTTCTGGCCCATAGCCTGTGGTAGTTTGCAGCATAAATTCACATCCATAAAACACACAGACTGATTCAGCAGGATCATTAACTTCTTTATAAACATATTAATACGAGTAAAGTTTACAATACCATCTGTAGATTCTTTCAATGTAACATAAGCAAAAACACAAGAAGCAGCTCAGAGGGCTCAGAACAGAATATTTTCAGTTTAGATGGCAAGTGTTGTGTCCCTGACTAGCTAAGTCTTCAACCTGGTCCGCATTTTGAGCGGGACCATCTTACTGTTCCCATTGGTTGGTGCCGTTTGACAGCAGACTATATAAGGAGCTGTCAAACGGCATCAGCTGGGAGCAGTTGGGGCTCCGGCTCCAGCCAGCCGGCTGCCAGCCCAGCTGGGCAGCCACGTTAATCTGTTACTGCTTCAAATAAAGAAACGTTATTCTTCAGCTCCTGTGTCTGCCTGGTGTGTCCGTCTAGACCAATACAACAGCAAGCAAGTCTAGTTTCAGTTGCACTTCTCAGCAAAGCACACAGAGCCAAACCACACCCAGGCTGTCATCTCCTATTGACTGGTAGGTTGCCATGCTTACTTTGTTGTCTCTGCCAGTTAATGAATATACTTTGACAAACCCCCTAATCAAACAGGATGATTTTTTACTTTATTACTCTTCTCTGCACTCTTTCCAAAATCTCAACATTTGTGTATCACGGTGACCAAAACTGGACACAGTGTTTCAAGTGTAATCTTACCAAGGCATTATAAACAGGGGTGGGATTCAAAACAACTGGTTCTGTGGGCGTGGCCTAATATGTGGGTGTGACTTGGTAGTCATGGGACTGACTGGACATGGCTAGGTGGTCATGTGACTGGGGTGGGCGTAGCTAGAAGGCCAAATATAAGTGGTCCTTGCTTAATAGCCAGTTGCTTAGCAAGTGTTCTAATTTACGACTGACCTCCCCAGAGCTACTTGATCTGTTTTTGGTGTTTTGACAGCCATACACACACACACACACACACACTTATGACCAGTTGCAACATCCCACACAGTCTTGTGACTGAGGTTTTCTATGTTTTTTGCCAGTTTCCAACAATTCCTTCTGGTTTCCGGTTTAAAATGCCATTGGGGAAAATGGACTAGTTTAACAACCAGTGTTTACTTAATGACCACAAGGTTCACTTAATGACCATGGTGCTTGTCTAACCCAGGTGTCTGCAACCTTAAACACTCAAAAGAGCCATTTTTCTATTTTCTTTTAAACATGTCTCTGACTTTCTTTCTTTCTCCCTCTCTCTTTCTCATCTCTCTCATCTCTTTCTCTTTCTTCCTCATCTCTCTTTCTCTTTTTCCCTCTCTAATTTCTCATTTCTCTTTCTCTCTCTCATCTACAACTGCCAAGATTGGAAGCTGTTTTTTATAATCCTATTTCTTTGCAGTTTTTTTTCACACACATTGTGTATATGTATCCAATATTCTTTCTTCCTTTCTGCTAAGTATTCAAAATGGGCAATGATTTTATGTGTGTGTGTGTGTAGCATGTGTATATGTGTGTTAAGTATGTGTATGGGATATATATGTATATATATGTATATATATATATATATATATATATATATATCTGTACTTACAGTAAAAAATGACAATAAAAGTTATCTTATTCTATCTTCTTCTTTCCTTCCCAACCCCATTCCTCCCCATCTATTTTGTGTTGGCTTCCCAGCCAAGTACTTACCAGGTCTGATCCTGTTTAGCTTTCTAATATCAGCCTTCTGAAATAAATACTAAACTAAACTGCCCAATAATTTACTTACCATCACTATCTTGCACCTGATTTCAATGTAAACAGCCAATCTGCTGTATTACTAAATTTTGCTAGGCGTCTGCTGCACGTTATTCTCTCTTCCTTGATAATCTAGGCCAGAGGTCCCCAAACTTGGCAACTTTAAGACTTGTGGACTTCAACTCCCAGAATTCTCCAGCCAGCAAGTTTAGGGATCCCTGATCTAGTCTTAGCTGGGCAAAACAGTCTGGAGTCACTGGCAAGAGCAGCTCAGCGCGGAGAAGAGTTGTATGTCTCCCCATATTCCTTTCTCCACGAGCAGCCTCGTCCCCTCCTCCTCATTTGTGAAGTGCGCTAAGTTTAAAGGTGCTGCTCGCAGCGAGAGAAATATGGGGAGATGCGTGACTTTTCTCTGTACCAAGAGGGCTGCTCTGCTTGCCCAGAAGCAGAGCAGCCCTCTTGGGGCTGCCCTCTTGGCATGGAAAACAGTCAGTGTGAGCAGCAGTTGAGGAGGTGGGTCACCCGTCCCCAGGCTCATGCTCACCATACCTGCAGGGGTTGGGGGATGCAGCAGCAGTGAGGCGGCAATGGTAATTCCGGTGGCATTGGGGCTTATGGGACCAGTCTGTCTCTCCCACCATCCATGCGGCCGCACACGTGCTGCATCGGGGCTTCCTGCTACATCGGGGCTTCCTGCTGTGCTCCCCCGCAGCCGCCATCAGCTGTTCTGGACTCGATCAAGAGGCATCTTGCTGACACGAGCGTCTCCATGTGTTTTTTCCTGCTGCTGTTTTTGGGAGAACAAGAGTTTCCTAAAACAGCAGAAAGCTTCCTAATCCCCCCCCCCATCGGAAATGTCTCAGGGCAAGCAGAGAGTAGCAGGATTCAACCTGGCTTGCTTCTCTGCTTGCCTGGGAGCTGTTTCTAATGGGAGGGGATCTTGGAAACTTTCAGCTGTGCAGCAGCAGGTGAGAGAAGCAGCTGCTGACCTGGCTGGATCCTATATGAGCCTCTCCACGTGTTCCTCAGTAGAAGGCAAGTGGTGGGGGAAAGGCAACTGGGGGCAGCAGCAAAAGGCAAGTGAGGGGGAAGGCGACCAGGGCTTGCAGAGCCTCACTCACCCAAGGAGATCGGTAAAGGCAGGGCCTCAGTGGAAGGCAGGCAGCAATGGCTGGCCTGGCGGGCACACAAGAGCAGGCTGCAGGCAGCAGTGTTGTGCATGCGTGCAATGTCGCGCATGCGTGATAAGGACTGACGGGCAGGCAGAGGAGAAGCGGGCAGAGAGGGGCGGGGCCAGCCAGAGGCCCGATTTACCAGTTCCCTGAACTACCAGGAACGGTAACAACCGGTTCTATAGAACCAGGCCAAACTGGTAGAATCCCACCCCTGATTATAAAGCAGTACTAACATTTCAGAAACATTTCATGATTCTATCCCACTGTTGATTCAGTATGGGACTGCATCTGCTTTTTTGGCAGCTGCAGCACACTGCTCGCTCATGTTTAAGTGATTGTGCCCTAGGACTCCTAGTTCCCTCTCACAGTTACTGCTATTGATACAGGTAACATCTATTTTATATCTGTACACTCGGTTTTTCTTGCCTAAATGAAAAACCTTACTCTTCTCATCACTGAATTGCATTTTGTTGGAAAGGGGCCAGTGTTCAAGCCTGTCAAGATCCTTCTGCTGCTTGAGCCTTTCTTCTAAAGTGTTGGCTATTCCTCCTAGTTTGGTGTTGTCTGCAAATCTGATTACTTCCTCTTCTAAATTGTTCATGAAGATGTTGAAAAGTACTGGGCCTAAGACAGAACCTTGAGGTTACCCATTGAATGCTTTTTGCTGTATGTGTTCTGTCCTAGGCCTCCCCAAAAAGCACTAAGTCAATTCTGAGTCCCAGCAAAAACCTCTTTTATTATATTACTATTTCATCCACAGTCAGCCAACAGCTTGGCAAACAGTCTTGCAAAGGTATACTAATGAGCTCAGACCTTTATCAATCCTGGAACGCTGCCTGGTAAATAGTTTCACACTCACTGCTGGCAGGGAAGGGCTGGGTTATACAGCCAAATCTCCATGAGGCTGGAATGAACAAACGACCAAACAAGCAAGTTGTTTCCTGCAAAAGCCCCCTCCCCTTTTGCTTCACTTTTAATCCTGATAGGAGGGGACATTCATCGTCCACCTGTGGCCTTACTCCCATGTCAACCCTGAGTTCTTAATTGTGCCTTCCTTTTGGCAGCTCTGCAGATGTGCAGGCTGGGAACTGGTTCCAGAACCTCCCCCGCCTCACTGCTGTCCAAGCCTGAAGGCAGCTGATGACTGCAAGCCTGCGCTGGCCTCATCTCTGCCTCTGATGCAGAGCCCTCATTCGAGCCTTCCTCAGCCTCCAGGAATGGCCCAGGTTCCTCCACAACCTCCTCACTAATGTCCCACTCTGCTGCCAGCTCCACCAGCCACCAGCAGGCCACAACAATATGTAGCTCTATTAAGGACTATATGTTGGGTGTGGTTGGTCAGCCAATTATGAATCCCTCTGTTGGAGATTCAGTCTAACTCACATGTTTCTATCTTACCAAGATTAAAAAAAAATCCATTTTTTATCCACCATCAACCTTTTATCCAGCACTTGAAGTTCTACGTTTTAAAAATAAATATTAACCTTGCAAATCACATGTAAGCTCCCATGCATTCATAAACACCTAAATAAATGCAAACAAGCTAACAACATCATTTGTTATTGAAATCTTCTGTTTCATAATTCGTGTCCACCCTTTCAGTTTGCTGCACCATTTTATGGACTTCTTCATGAACTACTGCTTTGTCATGGTGAAGGGGCTTGCGTAGATCAATGAAGCTATGAGCTATGCTGTGCAGGGCTACCCAAGATGGACAGGTCATAGCAGGAGAGCTCTGACAAAATGTGATCCACTGGAGAAAGAAACGGCAATCCATTCCAGTATCTTTGCCATGAAAACCCCATGGATAGTACCAAAAGGCAAAAAGATATGACACTGGAAGTTGAGCCTCTCAGGTCGGAAGGTGTCCAATATGCTACTGGGGAAGAGCAGAGGGCTAGTACTAGTAACGCCAGAAAGAATAAAGCAACTGGGCCAAAGCTGAAAGGACGCTCAGCTGTGGATGTATCTGGTGGTGAAAGGAAAGTCCGATGCTATAAAGATCTACACTCCATAGGAACCTGGAATGTAAGATCCATGAATCAAGGCAAGCTGGACATGGTCAAACAAGAGATGACAAGACTGAACATCGACATCTCAGGAATCAGCAAATTAAAATGGATAGGAGTGGGTGAATTTAATTCAGATGACCATCAGGTATACTACTGTGGGCAAGAATCCCTCAGAAGAAATGAAGTAGCCTTCATAGTCAATAAAAGAGTAGGAAAAGCAATACTGGGATACAATCCCCAAAATGACAGAATAATCTCAGTTCGAATCCAAGGAAAATTCAATATCACAGTAGTCCAAGTCTATGCCCCAACCACTCTTGCTGAAGAGGATGAAATTGACTGGTTCTATGAAGCCCTACAGCACCTTATAAAATTAACTCCAAAAAATGATGTCCTTATCAAGGGTGGGATTCAAATTTCTTAACAACTGGTTCTGTGGGCATGGCCTAATTTATGGGTGTGGCTTGGTGGTCATGTGACTGGGTTTTGGTGCCATTGAAGTTGATGCTATGATCTGTGGCTTTCATGTGTTGGACTAGTGAGGAAGTGTATTCCAGCTTTTTACTGCATTTTTGTGTTCGTCAAAGCGGATACTTATTCTATTGGTCTGTCTGATGTATGTGGTCTCTCCAGAGTCAGAGGACATCCGGCCAAAGTTCTCCTAAGGGGCCTCTCAGAGGGAGGTTTTCAGTGTGTGTGAATTTCTCTATCTCGAACAATGTCATGGCATACCAGTCTTGCACTCACTCTGGTACCCTTTGGAGGCCACAGGCTTTTCTGACTTCTGGATCAATGGCTTCTTTAAAATAGTGCAGAAGTATTCTGTCAGGCCAATGCATGATATTTCCTGCGACCCATCTAAAGTCCCACACAAAGTCTTTTTTGGATTGATTACCTCACTTCATCACTTTTATTTTGTCTTCATTTTCACCTACTCTGTCGGGGTCTTCAAATCTAGCCTGGAGCAGCTCAACAAATCCATTTGCATCATTTAGTTCTACAGCTTCCTCATTGTGTAGCTGAGCTATCCAGGTGGAAACATCTCCTTCATTCATCCCATCTGTAATTGTGCTGTTTCATATTGGTTTCCATATTGATCTATATGTACCCAGATTTGGCTGAGGAAATAAGCAAGTTTTTCAGGTTTCCCATCAAATGTTGCTCTAAACCTTGGTGGTGCTGATCTTGCTGGTGGAATCGCCATGGTAATTGCCAGCTGAGCTGGAATCTGCTGGGGCGCTGCTGCAGGCAGCAGGAGAGGGCCCTGCAGAGGTACTGCGAGGGGCAGCAGGGTGGCAGGTGGCAGCGGAGCTGGAATCTGCTGTGCCGCTGCTGCTGGCTGCTGGATAGGGGCCATCCGCTGAACTGATTGCTGTGTTGGAAAAGGGGTGGTGGCTGCAGCCTGCTGCTGGATCTGACCCCATTGCTGCACCAGGATTGTTGTGCAAATTGGCCCCATGGTGGTCCCAAACCAGGTGGTACAACCGGTGCTGGCATCCAGTGGCATTGGACCCACCCTTGGCCAGGATAAAATCCCCAGCCTGGGGGAATACATTCTGCAGGGGGTAGCATAAGGGTTGGCTGAAGAGGGGGGCCAATTGGAGGTTTCAGCCTCCCAAATGCTGGCTGCATCTGCTGTCTCTCCCCTGCTACTTGCCTCTGCCGTGCTGAGCTGATTCTTCGGTCCTCTCTAGCTGAGTGGAATGTCGCCACGCTGGCTCCATTGCCAGGTCCCAGATCAGGAAAAGTGAATGTGGGTTGTGTTAAGTTCCATCTTGGTTGGGGAGGTTGGGATTGTGGGACACAACTCCCCATTTCAAGTTGCTCAAAACACTCTGGGAGCCCTGCCAATGATTGGCTGCAAGACGGAGGCAACAGATTCCATTCTCGGGAGTTGTCAGATCCCAAAGCCCCCACATCTCTCCATTCTGACTCATGGCCTGACTTAGTTGGGCTTGAGTAGGAAAGATGTTCAGGCAGCCTTTCCTCCGGTCCCATCTCTGGGTTTACATCAAGTGCCTTCATCTCTCCTCTGCAGCTTCAATGGCTTGCACAAATTCTTCAGAAGGAGGATACCAGATCTCAGTCAGTCCTCCGATAACCGTTCCCAACCACTTCTTCTATGATCTCCTTCTCCTCCATCTTTGCTGAGTCTTTGCACCACCTGAACTTTAGGTTGGTACTTGGGGCTCAGCACCCCGGACAGCCCCCTTTTGGGGTGCTGGTAGCTATTTAGAGATTCAGGATAATGACAGCATTCCAGAAAACCTCAACTCCAATAAATAACTCTGAGACAGACATGTTCCCAAAGTTCCCTTTTATTAGAGTAGTAAACTGGCACTGTCAGCTTTAAAATTCAGCTGCCACATTTTTTTTTCCCTTTTAGAGAGTTGGAGGAGTTGAAAAGTTCAAGGTTATTCTGTATGTCATATTAAGTAATTCCAGTGGCAGTTAATTGGTGCTCGTGATTTATGAAGTGTAGAAGTGGGAGGAGAGAAGGGAGGAGAGAAGGTGGATTCTGTGTAAGGTGCGAAAATAATTTCACTTGGGAAATTGCCTTTGACATGCCAGATCTGTTTCTAATAAATTCAACCTTGGAGAGAGATGTCTCAGAGTGATTGACATCATGGATACTTTCTGGATGCCTTACAGGCACATCTTGGAAATCCTGAATCTGAAAGTTCCAGGTTTCCCTCCGATAAGTAAAAAATTACAAATCCATTCCCTGCTCCCATCATTCCATCACATGCCCCAATCACCATCCGTCTCAACTTGAGGCATCCCATCAACCATTCCTCAGCCAGGTGCAGGAATAACATGACCTTGACTTTAAAGAAAAATGCTATTAACCACATACGCTCCATGAAATTCCCCTTCCCATTTTCCCAGGCTCAAGAATGTGACAGCGTGGAACCTTCTGGTGCTAATATGGCTGACAATATTTTTATGTACTTTTGTATGCAGTTTGTAGTTTGGGATCTATTTTATGTTTTTGGCCTTTGATCATAATAATAAAAGTTTACTTGCAATGGTTTTTAAAAATATGTTTTAATGGAAATGGTTATAGTCTCTTCAGAAATACTGTGTACAAGGAAGTCCTCTGCAGGTTGTTTACTTCTTTTGTTTATTTTCTTTAACATAATTGCCAATAAGTAAATAAATAAATAAATATATTAATTGAGCATATTTTTGCTTTAATGATTTTTTCCATTAATTAATTCTAAATTTCTAAAATGCTAGTATTTTTCTTAATAGGAAAAAATGTTTTTTTGACCTATCTTTAATATATTTCCTTTTATAGTCCATGAAATATTTTAAGAATACTAGAAAGCATGTTTGGTAAAATAGGGTAGATAAATAAGTAAAGCAATAAATGTTTACTAATTGTTTAAAATGTTATATTGCATATATTTTAATGAAGGTTCTTTTCTCTTTCTCCCTTTGACTAGTAAAAGAAAAATGTCAAAAAATGGTTGAACAGTGTCATGGTGAACTGTTTTATATACACTTGCTTTCGGCTATAAACAATATAATTATACTTTTTCTGACATCTGTGGGACACTTAGGAATTCAAATATCACCTCTCCAAGGAATATTCTCCATTTTTATAAATAAAATAAACAAATTAGGGCCAACTGCAGCTTTGTCCCTGTGTTCTTTTATAGATCCTGGAATTTGTGTTTTCTATCTCATGTGCCTTTGCCTTATATGCAGTTTCTTCAGACTCCCTCAAGGGCCAATGAAGTTTTAGAAAAGCAATATTTGAATCCTTTGGAACTCCCCAAGAAGGCAAGCGTGTTTTGTGTCAACCTGTAATGGAAGAGTAGATGGTTAACAGCTAAATTCTTGAATTGTCACTGCAGCATAAATCAGCAAATGTCTCTTTTAAAAGGAAATGGATGAGCAAAATAATTTCTTTATGCATAGCATAATATGCAAAGGACATTTGCACATTTGGAATATGATTTGGGTACAAACAGTTCTCGGCTCAGTTCCTGACATCTTCTACTACTAAAATTGTAGTAGGTTAGAGAAGAGAGACCAATAGGTCCAGAGTTTGCTGAAGGTCCATTTGCTTAAGTCAAGTCTAGCTTCCACCAGATCCACTGTACTCGCAGTTAATTGCCAAAACCAATGGGACAATCAAAACAAGCACCCTTTGAAAGAGTTCAGGTCTTTAGAAACCCATGCTGAACACAGTTTGCACATTCCATTTTGTCTACAAAATGGACAGCTTTGGATAGAAAGTCCAGTAATCAATATCAGTATATCACCCTGTGCTCTTTGACTTGGCCCATTCACCAAGGTATACTTTGGCCCAGGCCTTTGGCTGCATGGGACAAATAGCCACCAGCCAATTGGATGGCAGGTAGAAGCCATGGTGCTGCAATGTGCGATTGCCAATAGGGAATCGCAGGAGCTGTGGGACTATGGGAGGATGTGGCAAGCAAAAGGCAATGTCACATGGTTTCTGGTATGTTGGGGGTGCAGCAGACAAAAGGCGTGGCACATGGTTTCTGGCATGGTGTGTGTGCGGCTTCTGCCATGGGTGCTGCACGGCAGCTAAACGGTGGTGGCACACAGCTTTTGGTATGGGAGAAGTGGTTTTTGGCATGCGGGGGGCAGTGGAGAAGGAAAGCTGGCTGTAAATGGGCTGAGGAGGGAGGCTGGAGGCAAAAGAGGTGCAGCCAATGGTGGAAGCCTAAAGGTCCTACACCTGGGGAGGCAAGCTACTGGTGCTGGGGGGACAGGCCAATGCTGCCTATATGTAGCTGCTGGTGGTGCTGGCGGGGGCAGTAGAGAAACATTGCCTATGTGCAGCTGTTGCCGGTGCAACCCTAACTGCACCTGCACCAGCACCAGCCACATTCAGGGAGTGTTTGCCTGCCGCCCTCCCTCCCACAGATCTTGCTCTCTCCCATAACCTGATACTAATTGCATCCTCCTCAATCGCCCTTCCCAGTACCGTTGTTGCCTCCTGCCAATCAAGCCTGCTGAATGTGCCACACAGTTGCCTGCCCATTGCAGCCATGGGCAAGCAAAGACAGACAGAGTGGGCAGGCAGCTACACAGCATGTCCAGAAGCTGGATTGTGTGCCTCCCCCCACACCTCTTCCCACCATAGTGAGGCAAATGGTAGGGCAGGGGTGGTGCCACACATGGTCCCTGTACTCTTGGCTCCCACTATCCAACCTCATCATCTAGCTTTGCAGCACACTCCACAAGCAAAGACAGACAGTGGGATGGATCGAGTGCCTCCACACATGCGTGTGTGCCTCTGCATTGGGCCCTGTGCACATACTCGCCATATCCTGTGCTGGCCATGCCCAGCCCCTGCTGATGACACTCTGAACTAGAGCTTATTTTGGAGGTAGGGCTTATATTGTGAGCAGCATGAAAAATCATGCTAGGGCTTATTTTGGGGGATACATCTTATTTTCAAGTTTGGCCACTCTGAGTTTTTTGAGCACAGCTCTGACCATTTTTGTATGTTCTGCCATTGTCCCAGTATAGATTAAAATGTCATTCAGGTAGACTAGCATTCCCTTGTACAAATGCTCATGCAGTACTTCATTTATCACATGAACACAGCAGGGGTCCCTTACAGACTCAAAAGGAGGACTCGGTATTGGAAATATCCTAAGGGGCAATTGAGAGCCATTTT